GTTGTGAGCAATGTGGTACATTTATCTGAGCTGAAAGCAGAAGCTGGAGAGTATTCAAACATCACGCCAGGCCTTCATTTGTGTTCTGACAGGGAGAAAGATAAGGATGAGGGACTCCCAAGTGAGACGGAAGAAGACCGGAGACACCAGGAGAACAGAGCAAAGGAGATCCGCGGTGAGCAGCCGATGTTCCAGTTAACGTGCTGTAGTGGGCGGGGAGTCCCGTGTTGTGTTGAGTGTGTTTGTATCTGTCCCTGATTCCAGAGCTTCTGCAGAGGAAGGATGAGCAGATTATCAGTTTATTGGAGGAGAAGATACACATCTTTAGAGAGCTGGGTAACTGCAGTCTGTCTCCAGAGGATGCTAACACATCGGTCATGGAGCGGATGTTGTTCAGAGCCACACCTGATAACGTCACCAAAGGAGAGCCGGTCATAAATGATGCTGTGAGAGAAGGTGAGCAGGCCTCTGAGGTTACTTCTCGTCATGTGCATCTCAGAGATGACATGTTCAAACCTGTTCCTCTCTGTCAGTGGAGGCCCTGCATGCTTTGGTCAGCGGAGGTTTTGGTGCAGCGGCCTGCGGTCCAGGCGGCCTGACAGGGGGCGCCGTGGGACCAGTCTGCCTGCCCAGACGAGCAGAGACGTTTGGAGGCTTCGACAGTCATCAGATGAACAGCAGCAAGAGTAAGACACGAGCAGGTCATCAAAGATGTCAGGGCAGGTGTTCACTCTCCTGTGAGACCGACTCTGCCGTCATCACAGCAGCTGTCTTTATCATGACCAGCCTTTAAAACCCTTCACCTCCTCTTACTGTCAGATGGAGAAAAGGAAGAGGGAGAGGAGTCAGTGGACCTCCGCAGGACTGAGTCCGACAGCGTGCTGAAGAAGGTAGGGATGTGTGTGTTTCACATACGGTTATTCATCTCATTTAAGACGAATTATTTCTTTAATACGTTCCTGCAGGTTTTACTGTGATGAAAACGAAATGTGCCTAGCTGATCAAATGGGAAGAGGCATGGCTGCTATAAACAGCGTAGGAAATCCATATGTAATAAAGCAGCAGTCCCCAACCTTTTTTGCGCCACGGACCGGTTTATGCCTGACAATATTTTCATGGACCGGTCTTTAAGGTGTCGCGGATAAATACAAACAAAATAACAAAATAAAGCTAGCACCGGTACCGAAAAAAAGAAGATTTATTAATAACACACGTGAAAAGACCCAGGAAAACCGAGTTAACGATAAAAGCGATAACAAAATAACGCTGAAAACCGATAAAAACCCTGAAAACCATACATTTCACACCTGAGCCTCAACTCTCGCGGC